AGCGTTAAGTTCCAGTGAGAAAAATGAAGAGGTAGTCAGTTTGTTACGTGTCATCATATAAGAGTTAGTTGTAGATGGATGGAATCTGTTTGTTGTCATGATTCCTCGGCTAAAGTCCTGAAGATTATACAGTTCACTACTTTAAAATGTCACAAAATATGGCTTAGGTTAAAAGTCATTCTCTTGTGATTCCTTACAAATGAACAGCTTTAACTGAAAGAAGTCTTTCTTGATTTTGTCTTTAACTGAATTGCATCGTTCACTAAGTTTTATTCTTATCCATATATTTATGGATTGCACAGTCCTTCTATTTTCTGCATAATTTTTATTTGTTTGCCTCATTGTTTTTGACTCTATCATCTGTGTTATGAATAAGTAAAAACCTTTTCCTATTTGAGGAATTTATCGGATTGTCAATTGTACTAGAAATATTATTCGATCTAGGTAGATATGTATAATTACTATGCTGAAATAAATGACAGTTTAAAACAAATCGATCAATGATTTAAGTTTAGCACTTTTGAAGATCTCTTACACTACTCAATAGTGTGACTTAAAAAAATAATTAACCGATCGATTTATACTACTTATAAGCTCATCAAGTTTTAATGCAATAGATTCATTCATCTTGATCTACATGCATGATTTTGTAGATTTCCGATTAAATATTTCAAATTCACAGTAATAAAATATGCAATTCATTTTTTTAAAACACAAATTACTTATAGGATGATTTTAATTTATCTTAAATATGAGTTATTGTGATTAGTAAAAAATGCTTTTGCAATCAGTTTACTGTTCTAGGCTTATTTAGACATCTATTTACTCTGTATAATTGCTGGTCAGATTAAATAATTACGTAATATTGAAGTGAATTACAACTAATTTGGTGAGTTTTTATCAGTAAACTATATGGAACTGCTATTAAGCTCAAAGATTTTAGAGTGAAAGTTCATTTAGTCATAGTAGTATCAATACGCTTTGCTTGTACAACTTTTTTCGTCTGTCTTTTTAAAAAAAACCAAAACTGAAATACGGATATGGGATTCATGACACGTCAGAGAAATAAAACATATCATGAATATATATCTATCTGTTTAGAGTTCATAGCCGGATCAAATAATTGACAAAAATGTATCAAGTGAAAATAATTTCAATAAACAGTTAAAATCTGGCAGATACACAGGCTCATCAATAACATTTGAGAAAGGAACACCAAACATTTAACATTCTATATCAATCAGTCAGTCAGTCAGTTACAACGTAGAATTTCGTACGTACTAAAGTTCATGTTGCCATACCACTTTAGCACAGAGATGCAATTGTCAATTCAAATCCCATAGTGGTAGAGATAGTAGAAGTATTAGTGGTGAAGGAGAAGATTAGGGAGCGAAGATATTATTCAAGAATTATAATTCACTAAGATAACTTCAGAAAGAGAAAGATAGAGCTGATGAGGAACTCATAAGGTTAGACTTTGAGAGGACACAGAGAATAAATGCACCTACGCCCCTGCGAATGATTTTGATCCATGTCGTTCAAGGTCTCTAACCATCGGTGACTTTCGTCTCGCGGACCCCAACCAGGTATTCGACACCTACCGACATGACTCAATCCACTTGTCAGTGACTTCATGGATTTGTGTCATGTTTTTGGTTTGACCGCCCCAAGAATAACATTCTATACAGCTTAATGAGGATTAAAAATGAATACGTTTACACTGTCGCAGTTGATTTCTAGTTAGTTCTTTCTTGAATGTTTAGTTGCAGCTGTCTTAACTAAAAAAACTGGATCTAGTTAAGATTTACGCTATTTTGTGTGTGCTCAAATCATCCCTATGTATGATTATCCTTTTGCTACAACTCAACATTGTATACTCTGTATGTTCTTTTTTTCACTGTATTTTTGCACATTTTTCTTTCTACTTTTTTTTTCCATTTCATTTCTAGCTTCTCCACTCCCATCTGAGCTATCCGATAAGCTTAAAACAAACGAAAATCGTTCAGAAATGATCCTTGATGTTCTACATTCTCTTCAGTCTAAATTGAAATCATCTGAAGATTCACTTAAGATTGAATCTGAACAACTAGATATATGTATACAACAAATGTATGTCATTTGGTATAGTTCATATGTATAAAAATGATAAATTTCTTTACTTATTACTTTCCTTATATGATAAGAATGCTTAAAGCATATCAAACAGAATAATTGTGCTTAAATATTAAGTTTCTTTTTTTTAAATTATTCTACATTATGTAGATTAACATTAAATTTACTTTTTAGTAAAAATTAAACCTTTTTACTTTAACAATCTATAGGTCATTGTTGATTATTTGTAGATCCAATTAAATGAAGTAGGTTTTATGTTACTCACTACTTAGTTTGAATTAGATGATATAAATCAATTAAGAAATTAATTGAAATACATTTCATTTAGTTGAAATGTTACATCTTTCTTCAAGAAAACTAAAATACGATCACTATTGGTGTCTGTAGCCACCCGGTTACATATTCACTAGAACCCCTCTAAAACTGTAATCTAAATTCCTCATAACATTCTTCTTTCTCTTTGCAAATTTATTTCGTTGGGTTATACTACTTGAATAATATGTTTGAGCTCTAATCTTTCCGATTACTGCTCATACTTTTACTCTTCCTTGGTAGTAACTGATGACTCAGGTGCATCCACTCGTTGTGTTTTCTCAAATTCTAATCTTCAGAATTCCTCATCACCTCTGTCTTTCTCTTTCTAAAGTTATCTCACTGAATAATAATTCTTGAATAATATCGTCGAACCCTAATCTTCTCCCTTACCGCTAATACTTCTACTACCTTTACCACTATAGGATTTGAATTGACAATTGTGTCTCTGTGCTAATGTGGTATGGCAACTTGAACGTACGTTCGAAGTTCTAAGTTTCAATAGACTGGCTGACCCACTCACTATAACCCCATCCATATAGTTATTTGTAGTGTTTCCTCATATGTCGAACACTTACATGGCTTATCCTAGCCTTTGCAAAAATTCATTTAGTCCATTCTTCTCGAGTTGTTATTTACACGTCATTCAATCGTGTCAATCATTCGCTTATAACCTTATTTGTTTTTACTTGAGTGTGTATGTGTATTGCTTACTTACTTCGCTTAACATATGTCTAGTTTAATTTTGTCTGACTAGAAATACTTAGTCATATCTCATTAAATGAGTTGACCCACTCGTCTTCTCTGCTTTGCTTCAGTCTGTTTCGCTTCGCTCTCATGATTCTCGTTCTCATATCTGTCTGTGCATGAAATAAATTAGTCCAACTAAAACCTTACCTTAACGGTTGCTCTAGTTGTGAGAAAGGGCATCGGATTCTTGACTTCCGAAAAAACTCGACTTTTATCATTTGATACCATAACTCTTCTAAATGAAGACCTTCTAACTCCTAGGGCAGAGTTCACTCGGTCTGAATTATATTTTCTGGTTAGGGTTTTTGTAGCGTGTTGAGTTTCTACGAGATGGGTCCGCTAACCTTCATGCTCAACCCTCCTCCTTTATTCGGACTTGAAACTGGCAATAGCCCCAAAAGGTCTCCAGACTTTTAATTACCGCCGTCACACAAATGGGATTCGTTTAAGAAAAGTATACGAAGGTAAAATTAAGGATTTATTTCAATGGCATATTCAGTTGTTCGTACAAAATTGAAGTCAAATCCTGAGCCACTAAATGCTATAAAAAAATGGATTATATAATTTAATAAAACTCTCTACTATCTGATAATGCTTGCTACTTATTTCATAAACTGATAATTTCTATACTCTTTTTATTCATCTCGATCACTTATATACCATATTCACTATGACAATCATTAGATTCATAAAACATGTTTAAACTACTAATGTTTATTCATTTTCTTAAGAGCTACATTTTAAAATACCATTCACTTATTTGTGCCTGGATAACTAATAGTATTATAGATCCTTACACACAACAGTTGTATTTTAAAACTAAATAATCAAATCTAGGCGTTATATATATAGACAAATAAATTACACACCCTTATTCCTTGTTCTTGTCTAGAAAAAAAGTATCTAGTAGTCGCCTATATATATATATATATATATATATATAATGTTCTTATATGGATCGCCTGGTTTCGTTTATTTTTTTTCGATTTGTTTATTAGGTATAAAACTTTTTTGTTAACAGTAATTATAATGACATTTCATATTAATAAAAAAAACAGTCTTTTTATCAACTTCTGCTCATATGGTTTGTCTTTAAATTAATAATAATAATAATAATAATATTTCATTAGACAATATTTAATTTTGCAAGTTCTATAATCTAATCTCATTGATAGTTAGTTAAATGTTGTCAATGAATTCTACAAAAATCTATATACATTGATATGGTAATCATAAATAGTCACATAGTATTTCATGTTTTCATTAGTAATTCAAGCAGATGATTCAAATGGAATGAATTGCCTGCCTTTTAATTATTTATTCGCCTTGTTTTCTAATGTATGAATCTCTATGTTTAGCAAACATATTGTATCCGATTGATCGATCGACCAATCAATCAAACTATATGGTGCTCTATTATTCTTTGTTGATTTTTGTTGATAGATTGGTTTCTAACATTTTTGTATATTAGGAATTTATTATGTAATTATGCGTTTTCTGTAATTATGTACCGTGTCGTAACTTTGAAGTGACGATACTTGTCTGTGTCTGTTTGCAATGTGGGATAGTAGTAGGTTAGACAAAGTACTATTGAATGACAGATTCAAACTTTATTCTACTTTTTAAAACTATAGTCACCTCCCTATCACTAGTCTCTAGACCAAAAACTTTGATCTACAGTATATAACATCTATTCGGTTTTAACAGCTTCTTTTCAAAACTATGGTATTTGTCCTGAGTGGCGCTTATTATCTTGGTGTGTGTGTGTGTGTTTAGAAAGAATTGAGTTTAATAGCTGCATTCTTTACTTACCTAAATGCACTTAGCTGTGATAATTTGGTTGTCATTTTGGGGAATGGTCATTCTTAACTTATAAGATGTCTGTTTTGTTCAGCTATTCTTCATCTTGTACTTAGTATAGAAATTTATTTAAGAAAAAAACATTTTTCAATTAGAGTTATGGAGATTAGTGTTTGTTGCATATTAAAATCATCAATCAATCATTGTTAGACCACCATTAGAAACCTGGAAGTACTGGACAGCCGTTTCGTCCTGGTATTGGACTCATCAGTAGTGCGCCTCCACGACTTTTCACCCCACAGGATTCGAACCCAGGACCTTCGGTCTTGCCCGCGAATGCCAGTGAATTTCAACCCTGTCATGTGTAGGCAGTAACTACCAACGACAAATGGGTGAGATCGCGCAGAATCTGTAGATTGATCAGAGTTAGATAGTAACACCGTTGGATGCCGATCCAGTGGTCCAGATATTAGGCGTTCATGCGCAAGACCGAAGATCCTGGGATCTAATCATGAGAGGTATAGGAGTTGTGGAAAGAACATTTTCTCTGTGCTGAATTCTCTTTTTAGCCATTGTCGCAAAACAGAATCTCTTGATTTATGTCTAGGCTGACCAGTGTGGCTATTATGTAACTTTTCTGAAATATTCACACTGTTTATCATGCTTTTGACCTTCAATCTTTTAAATTTTTCGTAAAAGTCACTCATCCTGTTTATCAGTTATAATATTTATCATTTTGAACATACCATTAAAAGGTGATAATTGTATTCTCTTAATCTATTAGTACTTACTTACTTACTTACGCCTGTTACCCCCAATGGAGCATAGGCCGCCCACCAGTTTTCTCCAACCAACTCTGTATTGGGCTTCCCTCTCCAGTTCTGTCCAATGTTTGTTCATTCCTCTCATATCTTTCTCTATTTCTCGGCGTAGTGTGTTCCTTGGCCTTCCTCTTTTCCTTTTGCCTTGAGGGTTCCATGTGAGGGCTTGTCTTGTGACGCAGTTAGGTGCTTTTCGTAGTGTGTGTCCTATCCACTTCCACCACTTCTTCCTGATTTCCTCCTCCACTGGAATCTGGTTTGTTCTCTCCCACAGTTCGTTGTTGCTGATGGTGTCTGGCCAACGAATACGAAGTATTTTGTGTAGACAACTGTTAATAAATACTTGTATCTTCTGGATGATGGCTTTGGTAGTTCTCCATGTTTCCGCTCCATACAGTAGAACTGTCTTGACATTTGTATTGAAAATTGTGACTTTGGTGTTGATTGATATTTGTTTGGTGTTCCAGATATTTTTCAACTGTAGAAATGCAGCCCTCGCTTTGCCAGTCCGCGCCCTCACATCTGCATCCGATCCACCTTTCTCGTCGATGATGCTGCCCAGATATGTTAAGTTGTTAACGTCCTCGAAAGCATCTCCATCAAGAGTGATTTGATTGGTGCATGTTGTGTTGCATCGGAGAATTTTGCTTTTTCCTTTATGTATGTTGAGACCTACTGCTGCAGAGACTGCTGCTACACTGGTCGTCTTCTCTTGCATTTGTTGTTGCGTGTGAGATAGAAGAGCCAAGTCATCTGCGAAGTCCAGATCGTCCAGCTGCGTCCTAACTGTCCAGTTGATACCGTGCTTCCCTCCAGACGTCGACGTCTTCATAATCCAGTCGATCACTAGGAGAAAGAGAAAGGGTGACAGTAAGCAACCTTGCCTGACACCGGTCTTCACCTCAAAAGAGTCTGTCAGCTGTCCTTCGTGCACGATTTTGCAGTTGAATCCATCATAAGAATTCCGTATGATGTTGACTATTTTCTCAGGCACACCGTAGAGTCGAAGAAGCCTCCACAGTGTTTTCCTATCCACGCTATCAAATGCTTTCTCGTAGTCGATGAAGTTGATGTAGAGTGGTGAGTTCCATTCAATTGATTGTTCCACAATGATCCGTAATGTTAGCAATTTGGTCAGTACACGATCGATCCTTACGAAATCCGGCCTGTTGATCTCGAAGTTGGGCGTCTACGAAGTCCTTCATTCTGTTTAACATTACTCTGTTGAAGACTTTGCCTGGTATTGAAAGAAGAGTGATGCCTGTGTAGTTCTCACACTTGCTCAGATCGCCTTTCTTTGGTATTTTGATCAGGTATCCTTCTTTCCAAGTCTGATGGTACTTGTTCCTCATCCCAAATCTTCTTGAAGAGTATGTGAAATATTTTCGCAGTTGCTTCCACGTCTGCTTTCATTGTCTCTGCTGGAATATTGTCTGGTCCTGCTGCTTTGTCGCTCTTGATTTGTCTGATGGCCATACTGATCTCCTCAATCGTAGGTTCACCAATATTAATTGGGAGGTCCGTGGATGCTGCTTCGATGTTGGGTGGGTTCAGTGGAGCTGGTCGATTCAATAGTTCCTTAAAGTGCTCTACCCACCTATTTCGCTGTTCGTCAGTGTTGCTGATTATTTTCCCTTCCTTACTTTTCACTGGTCGTTCTGGTTTACCATAGTTCCCGGCGAGCTTCTTTGTTGTTTCGTACAATTGTCTCATGTTTCCTTCTCTTGCAGCCTTTTCCGCCGTCATTGCTAGATCTTCCACATATTTTCGTTTGTCAGCTCTGATTCTCTTCTTCACTTCCCTGTTTGCTTCTGTGTATGCAGCTTGTGCGGTAACTTTCTCTGCTCTTGTTCGGCTGACATTCACTGCTGCCTTCTTGTTCCTCCTTTCTTCAATTTTTTCAAGAGTAGCAACAGAGATCCATTCCTTGTGATGGTGCTTCTTGCGACCAAGGACCTCCTGACATGTTGAAGTGATTGCCTCCTTAATCCCTTTCCAATTGTACTCCAATGTTGCGTCCTCTCCATTGTGTAGACCCTGAAAGGCCTGGAACCTATTGGTAATCTATTAGTACACATGACTAATAAAATGTAAAGTGTAAATAAACTTGCCTTGCATATCAGGACTTTGTTTCTTTTTTGTAATCTTTATTTTAACAATTTAAACATATTTTAAAAGGATCAGGTACTTAGTTTTACGAATATGATTTTCGGGGTCATTTGATGGGTCGATAAATGAGTCAATCAGTCAGTCAGTTACAACGTAGAACTTCGTACGTACGTACATCAGTTCAAGTTGCCATACCACATTAGCACACAGATCGAATTGTCAATTCACATCTCGTAGTGTCGCGCGAGCCACTTATAAGTAGTATATGACGTGAGTGTCAGCGTAATGTCTGGCAACAGAAGATGGGGGAAGATCAAGAAAGGAAGAGTGGGAACACAATGGAATTTGTATGAAACGCATGAATATTGACAATGGATTGATGCTTTGCAACAGGAACAATCCAGTTCGATAGGATGGACTGATATTTTGCAAATAAACGATTTACGATATGGTTTTCCAATTTTACTGATTAACTCTGTAATTTTCGCTAAATACAATCCGGTTGCCCCCACCTGTGTTCTCGTTCACTACAGTAGTTGTATAGGTAGTAGAAGTATTAGCAGTAATCTGAGTGATTATGGTTCGAGGATATTATTCAAAAAGTAGAAACCAGTGAAACAAATTTAAAGAGAGAAAAGTAAAGGAGACGAGGGATTTGAGAGAACACAAAGAATGAATGCACCTGCGCCATCGCAAACGGCTTTAAGCCATGTCATTCGAAGTCTTTAACCATCTCGCGGACCCTAACCAGGTAGTTGACACTTACCAACATGGCTCAATCCAGTTGTTAGTGACTTCATGGATTTTCGCTGATAAATTATAGACGATTTCTATGAGAATGGCGATGTACGACGTTTCAACGAGGAAAATTCTGTTTATTTTGGTGCTATATTGTTTTCTTAAGCTGTATAAATTTTATTTATGTTCTGATAGTTTTCGATTATTTTGTTAAATAATCCACTACCGAGACTAGTCAGTCTTTGAAGATTTACTGATTATTATTCAAAATTACTTCACTGAAATAAAATTTTAGATTCAATACTCTCTTAAATAAGTAGGATTATCTTTAATAATTTTGTAGTTCTTGTCTTTTTCATTATAGACTAACTATTATATGCATGATAGGGTTGATATTACCGATTGGTCGAAGTTAGACATTAACACTGTTGGATACCGGCTCAGTGGTCCGGAGGTTAGACGTTCGCGCGCAAGACCAAAAGTCCTGGATCCGAATCCTGCTGATTGCAGGAGTCATGCATGCGCACTGATGATGAGTCCCATACCAGGACGAAAGGGCTGTCCAGTGCTTCCAGGTCCCTAATGGCTGTCTAACATTGATCGATTCATGATTTCAAAAAGTAACGATTGTACATAGAAAAATTGTCTAGAGATACATACAATTATTTAGCTTAAGAAAATGATATCGTTATAAATAAAATCTTCACTGAAACGTCTTTATTTATTCTTTCCTTTAGCTGTTGTCGTTTTGTATTTATTAAAAACTCATTAGTGGTTTTACAACGATCGGACTAGATTATAAGGCGACGGTTTAAGATTGTATCGGATACTTAAACAGAAATAAAGAGGTATACAGAGATAACAAAATAAAATGGAATCTTCTTTATTCCTGTAGTCAGTAATGTTGGTATTGTTGAACGTAGTCCTTTCCCACATCCTTAATATACCACTTTTTTCGCAGTGTTTAATCGTTGCTTGTAATCATTATCTTATATTTCATCCTTGTTGTCTTCGTGTTTATTTTAGTCGTAAACAATTACTTGATGTGAAACAAACATTTGATCTTCCGGATTCACTTATTTCGTGCGATGCACCTTCACATTGTGAACAACTCAATCCTGAACGTATTCGTTTTACTTGGAGAGGTCTTTGTTCAACGGAGCTTATAGATTTATTTGCTAATACTTGTAAAGATATAAATGACTTAGTTGAACAGCTGAATCGTCTGGAACTTGAAGCAGATATTACTTTTCCTCATATGTAGAGCTATCTTATGTATAAATTAACTTGTACGCAAGAAAAATATATACTTTTTCATCTCAATCTGTTCCGATCACCTCATGGTAAGAAACTTTACTAGCTAAACAAATAGGTGTTTCAGTATAAACAGGTTACTTTGGAACGAATGCAATAACTTGTCTGAAGTGTGACTATAGTTGACATTGTGAACTTTTGGTATTGTGCTGACATAGAGTTACTGGGTTCTATCCCATATATGTTATGAATTCAAACTTCTGATAAGTTTCATAATAAAACGAAACAATTGTTCGTAACTACTTTGAAATAGTCCGTTAGTTGTCATAAAAACTTCGATCAAATGGAAACAGGGTAAATAGTATTTTAGCCCGCAATCCAATAAATATTATTTATCACCTAAAAACACAAAGTTAAGTTGTAAACCAGTATGTGAGATTTAGTAGGCAATTTTTTAATAGAGCTCACGAACCAACCTAAGTTAGATAATTCTTGGGAGCTTTGAACCTTTAGATGGCCTTTTCGCATGAGTATGGGACATCTCTACAGTGCGCATCCAAGACCTCATGTCCGGGACCATCGGTCGCGCGCTCGAACACTTAATTATCAGACCGCCTAGTTGGATAGGATTCAATGGTATACAAATCTAACCTTGATCGGTCCAAAATATTACGCGTTTCTGGTTGAACTGCACTAATCACAGCTCACTAGAAATCTCGAAGCTTCCTGTTAAAATTAGGCACTCGTAAACACATGATGATTACCAGTACGGGATTGCAGATTTGAATTTTAGTGATTTTACTAACCGAAGGCTATTGAAAACGTGAAAGCACTGAACAACCGTTACTTCTTGGTATTTTTTCCTCCTATTCACTATGAAGTAGAACAATAGCTCTTTAATTTTACCCTAAAACTTACGTACATTTAAGCTAATAGGAAAAAATGTTTGTAAAGAAGCATATTCCTACTTGTCAGCTGTGGCATTTTAATCTTACAATATCTATAAATTGTACTGAAACAGTTATTAACTGATCAGTGATTGTAACTTTATATCTACAAAGTCCTCATTATTCTGAATTTGATTTAGCTAGTTTTGTCCCTTTTTGCGGAACGTTGAGTTAGGTAAGCTTGTGAGTTTTTTTAGGCGTAGAAAAATCGTGTTGTGGTTACAACCAATGGAAAAACAATCATTCCTTCAGTTTTGTTAAAGTAACAGTGTCAGTCAACACGGAAACAGTTTTCATTCCTCACACTCATATTAATTTACATACTCGTACATGGGAAATAAGTGAAACAAAATAGACTAATTATCTCAAAAATTAGGCCTACTTTCTAAACTGATTATAAGTAATCTCTACTTTGGTGTGTTTAAATGAATTTGACATTAAAAAATAAGTAGAACTGATCACAGTTCCACTCATCGTCATATTAATTCTTGTCAGTATGTACTGTGATTGACAGGAACCTTGAAACAAACATAAACATCATGTTTTTAAATATAAATGCTGAAGCATAGTTTATCAAACCTTGGTAATATCAAAAGACCTGCTTAAGAAGAGTATGACTCATATTAATCTGAAGTCACTTAATATCGATTAATTGTGTTAATTAAATAGTGATGCAATCAAATTTAAGTGTACCAATCGGTTTCATTATTTATATATCTAATTTGTAAACTAAGAACTAAGTTTTATTCTAATAGTTGCTTTATTTTATATACAATAATAATGTGTAAAAAAAAAAGAAATATCAATGTTTATTCTATTGAATCATTTATCATAGAAGGTCAGATTATTATTATCAATCATCACATCCGTCAATAATGAGACATCTATGTCTATGTGAATGTCCATGTCTATTTCATACGTTTTATAGTTGATTATCAGCAATAAATTGACCTTATTTATTTATTAGGTTTATAAATCTGATAATCTTAGATTTTCAATTTAGTATTTAGCATTAATCTATAAAATATAAAATGCTACATATCATCGAAAGAACTTAAAAACATAGATTCTACTGCTAGATCAATGTGAGTTCTAAACTGTCTTTTGGATGAATGTGAGAAAAGTGATAACAAAATCTATAATCAGACAGGATGATCCAATGTTATACACATCTGTGCTTAACTCATTTTAAACTAGTTTACTGTCCACCAGGAAGCATTGTTTGATTGTTATTTTTTTGTGTGTGACCTAGATGGGGAATACATACGTCACGTAAAATTGGTGCTTTACTTAATTTTGTGGTAAAAAACCAATGAATGTATTAAACATTTCATTGTGAAATGTTGACTTGTGAATGGAATCGTATGCCGACCGCATTGTCCTTCAAGTGAGATGAGATCACAAACCTTAGTGGTAATAACTTGTGTACCACTATGTACAAAGCAATGAAGTGGAGCAGTTCATGTTACAGGTTATTTATTCGCAGAAACTCATTCAGTATGCGTAAACTAATATCTGTATAATTCATTGCTGGATTGCTTATGCATACAATTCATGTACGATTTTTATGATTATGAATATTTTCCTTGAAACCATGAATTGATCAATGCTAGACCACCGTTAGAGACCTGAAAGTACTGGACGACCATTTTATCTTAGTATGAGACTTATCAGCGGGGTTAACCCACGACCCCGCGTGCGGGAACCAAACCCAAGACTGCGCTTAGCCTCTAGACCATTAAATCGTCATTCAACTGCGTTAATCACAAACTTTAATCAATCCACGATACTGCGCGACCTTATCTATTATCCTCTGTGAGTAACTGCCTCACACTCGACACGGTTGAATCCCATTAGTTGCGGCTTCTCAATTAAACTCCAAGAATTTGCTCGCAAAGCTAGTCACTAACAATCACATGATAATTGTTTCATTGAAATCAATAGATTGAGCGTTCTAGCACAAGGCAGAGTGTCGTGTGTGTTTGATTCCCGCTCGTGGGTACGTAGATGTTCACTTTTGGTGAGTCTTATACTAGGATGAAAAGGCCGTCCTGTACTTTCAGGTTCGTAATGGTGTTCTAAGATTGATCGGTTAATGTTTTCGAGGGAACTCAACAATCTCCACAACTATCAACAGAGCTTTTTAATTCGGTAAGACGTTAAGTCATCAAGGATTATTATATTGAAGTTTAAATTCTCTTTTAAATAAATTTTTTGGCATTTGGTTTCATTTAAAAGGAGAAAAACAATTTACTTCGATAAAATATTAGTGCATAGTTGCCTACATTAAAAGGTTTGCATGAAGTTTAATGTAAAAACTCCAAAAGATAATAATGTAAGCATCTAGGTCGTAATTTATTTTTTTATGCTGAAGTATTTGCTTTATTTGTCAACGAGAATTATCAGTTTATTCAAGATAAAAAACAGCCATCATTGGACTCATTTATTTTGTGTATTCTGTTAAACTACTAATAACTCAGAGATAATAGTAATAATTATTAAAAAAACAACGGTGAACATAATTTTTCTAATTTCTCATCATCAGCAATTATATTCTGGAAGAAAATTTCTTTATGTACATCTTTTTTTCCAAATAGTTTTAACAATTATTAGCAGAGATGAATGGTAGCTAGTAGTAAAATCCAGGATGCGCGTTTCGTCCTATCAAGGACTCGTCGGCTGCATGCAAATACATCCCAGAGTTGATGCTTATCCCGGGACTCAAACTCAGTACCGATCACCTCAGTTGTCTAAAGGCAGGCGATGCACTAGATCCTATCTGAAATTCCTTGAACAACTGGTCTAACATTTTAGAAATATCAGATAGAATTTTAAGTTTTGCTTAGGTCACACCACACACTGATCTAACTTAAATAAGCACTGGGACCAGAAATCGCTAGTCTGCAGTCTCGTCTTAGCACTAGACTCTTCAAAAGCATGCACTCGTAATCCCAAAAAGGATCAAAAGTAGAACATCGCTCACAGTTAGTTCTAGCTTTCAATACCACTGGGTCAAAATCGAATGGCTTACACGTCTCAGTCAGTCAGTTACAACGCAGAACTTTGTATGTAAGTACATTTGTTCAGGTCGCCATACCACATCAGTTCAGAGACGCAACTATCAGTTCAAATCCCATAATGCAAAAGATAATGGACGTATTAGCGGTAATGGAGAAGATTAGGGTTCGAAGATACTATTCAAGTACAATTCAGTGAGCTAACTTTAGAAAGAGAAAGACAGAGGTGATGACGAATTCAGAAGATTATAATTTCAGAGAACAGAATGGATGCACCTAGGCTCACATTGTCTAACTTCAATAAATCCAAGACTGGGACGAAACAGCTGTTTAGTGTTTTTATTTTTAAAATTTTCAATGGTCGCTTCATTAAATTAAATCAATGATGCACATCGAAAATTCCACAATCTCTAGAAAATCTTTTATATTAGAAATAAAATTCTCTTCAATTACTTCAATCACTATAATCCTACTTTAAATACTAAACTGAAAATGATTAACTTTTGAATAATAATATCATTATTAGTTATATAACAATGGATACAATAAAAGTCATTTGATTGTTTTTCTTTAAATTATACATTGCTCTTTCATAACAAATGAATATAAAACAATTAAATAAATCTATGAATTAACTGATATGAATAAGACAATGAGAATACATTGTTTTGATTATTATAAAATGAAGTATAACAATAGATAGTTATTTGGGAAGCAAAATAATTTCTAAAAACTAAATTGATTAGATTCACAAAAACTGAATAACAATCAATTTCTGTGTGTACATTAAAAGCGCCATCTTAATCTCATGACTGTTAAATATGTTTATGATATTGAGTATAATCGAAAATGTGAATAACCTGCAAGATTTAAATGTTAATGAGAAATAAAATGAAGTAAGAACTGATCATATTTTCAATTAGAGTTATGGAGATTAGTGTTTTTACACATTTGAAATCATCAATCAATCATGGTTAGACCACCATTAGAAACCTGGAAGCACTGGAAGGCTGTTTCTTCCTGGTATGGGATTCATCAGTGGCAGTGCGCATCCACAACTACTGCACCTCGCAGGATTCAAACGCATGACCTTCGGTATTGTGCGCGAACGCCAAACCTTTGGACTACTGGGCCGGCATCATAATAAAAAAATGACGAACATCCCTTAAGAGCAGGTTTTTAAATACTGATTTATAAAATACATATGCCATGTTAGAGGATCAATAAACAGTTTTCAAGATTTTCTTGTATACGAAAGAGAGCGCTACTATTCTATGATTTTGTTTTAATGGTCAAATGAAAAATTTGTTGTATATTCGTAATATTTATCAAATATTTATAATTATTTTAAAGGAGTAGTACTTGACCACTGAAACAAACATCAATAGATTATAATTTCGCAATACAATATAACAGAATTTCTAATGTAAAATTTTGCGTTCTTCAATAAATTGAATTTCAAATTTTCATTTCTATTTGTGATGTGCACAATATCACTTGTAGAATGAATGATATAAAGCTCATTTATTTTTCATATAAGGTGTAATATATATATATATATATATATATATATATATATATATATATATATATATATATAATTATGTAGTCGAATTTATAGATGTGAAAACTTCCTATTAACAAACTTTTTTCGGCTTTTAAACACTATACATAGTGTATAGAGCATACATTAAAAAAAATAAAGGATTTTAATTTAAAAGGTTTATGATCATTTGATGTTTGATAGTAAAAATAAAACGCAATTAATCATTGAGCGTGGATTTCTTGTCCTCTTATTAATTTTTACTGTGGACTTACAAAGAGTGATTGTTTCTAATTGTATGAAATAAAGTATTGTCAAGTATGATTGTGATTCTTTATTTTGATCGTAAAATTGAATATCTGATATGACGTGATGTAGTCTCTGTGTAGTGTACCATTTGAATATCCGATTCAGTGGTAATATAAACTTACTTACCAGTGTTCTTAATTATAACTCGTACAAGAAAAGGAAAATATTACAATACTTCCGTTGTTTTAATCTTAGTGAGTAAACTAGTAAATCAATTTCAAATAACAAACAAACCTTGAAAAAAGTTATTTTGTTTTTTATAAACATTATCCTGAAAATAAGTTTGATTATAGTGTGTGTTTCTATGTTAAAGAAATTGTACAAGAATGAATTAGCTTCATTTTCGCACTTATTACACTATTATCTGAGAGGACTATAGATTAATGTTAGGTATTAGAGGGTTGGCAATAATCGACATTAAAAACTAGACATAATTTACGTCCCAGAAAACATTTGTTAGTAATACCGATCTTGATTTCGGAAGGCTTGATGCTTGGAACCAATGTTATGCAGACAACTTTAAGTTACTTAGAATATTGACTACATAAAAACATACTGCATGAAGCTCGACTGAAGCTAATGACCAAACCAGCATGAAATTATGCACTAATCAGTGATCATTTTATGCAGGTGCATAACATGCAAACAATGCAGTTCATCGTTAACTAATGGCAATCAACCAATTCTGTTGTGATAATGAATAGTCTCCACATCTGTTACTAGATGATAGCACGAGACTCTTCAAAAACATGCACCCGTAATTCAAAAAAGGATCAAAACTAAGAAATCGCTTACAGTCAGCTCTGGCCTTCAAGATCTTACTTACTTACTTACTTACTTACGCCTGTTACCCCCAATGGAGCATAGGCCGCCCACCAGTTTTCTACAACCAACTCTGTCCTGGGCTTCCCTCTCCAGTTCTGTCCAATGTTTGTTCATTCCTCTCATATCTTTCTCTATTTCTCGGCGTAGTGTGTTCCTTGGCCTTCCTCTTTTCCTTTTGCCTTGAGGGTTCCATGTGAGGGCTTGTCTAGTGACGCAGTTTGGTGCTTTTCGTAGTGTGTGTCCTATCCACTTCCACCGCTTCTTCCTGATTTCCTCCTCCACTGGAATCTGACTTGTTCTCTCCCACAGTTCGTTGTTGCTGATGGTGTCTGGCCAACGAATACGAAGTATTTTGCGTAGACAACTGTTAATAAATACTTGTATCTTCTGAATGATGGCTTTCGTAGTTCTCCATGTTTCCGCTCCATACAGTAGAACTGTCTTGACATTTGTATTGAAAATCCTGATTTTGGTTTTGTTTGAAAGTTGTTTGGAGTTCCAGATATTTTTCAACTGTAGAAATGCAGCCCTCGCTTTGCCAATCCGCGTCCTCACATCTGCGTCCGATCCACCTTTCTCGTCGATGATGCTGCCCAGATATGTGAAGGTGTTAACGTCCTCCAAGGTATCTCCATCAAGCGTGATTCGGTTGGTGCATGTTGTGTTGCATCGGAGAATTTTGCTTTTTCCTTTATGTATGTTGAGACCTACTGCTGCAGAGGCTGCTGCTACACTGGTCGTCTTCTCTTGCATTTGTTGTTGAGTGTGCGATAGAAGAGCCAGGTCATCTGCGAAGTCCAGATCGTCCAGCTGCGTCCTAACTGTCCAGTTGATACCGTGCTTCCCTCCAGATGTTGACGTCTTCAAGATCACTGCGTCAAAATCCAGTGGCTTACATGTTTCATTTTTACATAAATCTTCAGTTTTAATTTCATTCGATGAAACACTGCAGGGAAGATACATAAGACATCAATTAATTTTATTTTTTTTTTTTCGTAATAGTTCATGAGAAAAGAGCAATTATACAAGTGGAAATAACAGATCTTATGATACACAGGAATCCAGTGAGTAAAACGAATATGCAAATCAAAATCTGAACCACCGGATACCACCGATTCAGCAGCTTATGAGTTATACAATCTGAGGGTCCTATTTTCTAACCTTGGCAAAGTTGTGAATGTGTATTGATGCGTACACTGAATGGTGATCAGTGAATGTAAACATATCAGTTCAATTGATGATCAATTATTCTTTGATTAGCTCAATGGTAGGATCTTAAACCATAAATCTAGATGACATGGATTGGAACTTCACAGTAAACATTTGTTATCGGAAGCTTTGAGATATTCTTTGTTAATTGGTGCTAGAGAACACAAAATCTAGGTTAAGCAATGTTTCCCACATGTAACCATTTATTTTTTTCTGAATATGAGAATAACCTTCTGCTGGGGATGTTAGATCCCCAGAACTCGCTTCATGAATGCCTTATTTTGGATTTCACGTTTGTGAGCATGGGCTGATCAGTTGACCTTGAGATTTCATTTCCCACCAGGAAAATCCATGACTGTGATTCGCTGCTGTGTATTTTAGTGTGCTATTTTCGTAACTGTCCCAAAGACGTTTCTATGATGCATAAATAAACAAGAGTTGTGTGCTTGATTGTATTGTGTGATTGCTTGGTGTTGTAGAATATACTTTCTACGCTTACAAAGCTCTTTTACTCTATTTGGGGATTCGAGGTAGCCTACTTGAACGCTGATAATTGTCTCGTTCGCGTTTTATCGACTAAGGTGAACTCGTAATAGCTTCAAGCGTACCTAATGTCGAACATAAAACCTTCATAGCTTCTTGAATTGTCAAATGAAAGAATATATGTTATGAATACTATAGGTGACGACGATATGACTATTCTTTTACTCATTTAGACTAATTCCACTGATTCACAAGTGAAATGTATAATAATTTTTACTTCACTTTAATCATCCAACATGTAGTCACACTTTGGTATTACTTAATGATTATTTTAATTCGATAATTTTAGGTCAAAAGTTGAATATATTTTACAAAATTATTTAATAATACTAATCATAATAATAATAATTCATTACATTTTCCTTTAAAATTCAATATAATATTTGAAAATAATTTGTTTGTCTAAGTGCATTATAGTTGATATTTTTTTTATTGGTTTATCATTGTCTGATTAGTTTAGATAAATTTGATTGAAATTTGCATATAGAAATGATCATTTCATTATCAAAGGCTAAATTTATTCTTGTTGATTATATGTTCATACAATGATTATTAGATATTATTCATTAATTCAATTCATTATAATACTGATATGTTTTGTAAAATATATGAATTGTATACCAACCAATATATCACATTTTAATGATAGTTTTACGACTACTACTACTACTACAAGTACAACTACAGCGACTACTACTACAGCCACTACGACTCCCACTACTACTACTACTACTACTACTACTACTACAGCTAGCACGACTCCCACTCCTCCTCCTCCTACTACTACTACTACTACTACAGCTACCACGACTCCAACTACTACGACTACCACTCCTCCTCCTCCTACTACTACTACTACCACTATAGATACTACTAATACTGTTACTACTACTGAGCCTACAACTTCTGTACCAACTACAACTCATAGTGTAATTGATACTACAAATATGGAGACTACTAAAGTGACAGTAACCACCAATACAACTAATTCAACAATAATTTCACTGAATTCTACAAATAGTTCTTTCCCACGTACCCATAGATCTTTAAACACAGAAGATGAGAATCATTTATCAGAAAAGATTACAAGTACTATTGAGTTTATGACAAGTACAGTTTCACCATCAACTACAACTATGGACATAAATGAAACAACAACTGAAGAATATACAACCACAACATTATCATCATCAACAACAACACAAGAAGAACTTGTTAGTCATTTAAAGAATATGACTACATCACCAACACCTGGAATAAATTCAACCAATATTCCTTCAAATAATACAACTGAAGAATATACCACCACAACTTCATCACCAACAACACAAGAACAACTTGCTAGTCATTTAAAGAATATGACTACATCATCAACACCTGGAATAAATTCGACCCATATTCCTTCAAATCATTCTAGTCATTCAACTCGACGTCATACTATAAAAGGAAGAGTTATTTTAGCTACAACACGTGAAAGAGGTAGTAGAGTATGGGGATTAACTGCAAGAAAAGCTGAAATAGCTTGTCATCGATTTGTGAAAAATCGTAAAATTATTGCACCACTAACTAATAGAACAACAAACAAGGTATTACATAAAAAGGGTATGAAACCAAGTGATTTATATCAAGGTCATCTGCTGTCTGTTAGTTCAAATGAGGAAGTAAGTGTTGACTACTGTATTTTTTTTTTTAAAAAAAGTGGTTTATAATCATGAACTTTTTACTGATTAATGTTATTATATTATATTTGAAATGGTTTTGAAATGAATACACAAATGTTTAAGATTGAAGTAACGTTGAAGTTACTTCATTAATTTTTCTTATACTTAAGAAGAGAATACTACAAATTTGAAAGAATTTCTTCATAGCAGATTAAATTACACAATAGTTTCTTTGATTAGTTTGTATTGAGAATAGAAGAAAGACTTAGTGTAGTTTTATTTTGTTGACGCATATACAGCTAAAGTGTATTCAACTAGACTCCTATTTCAACATGATATCTTTAATGAACTAAAACCAACTGGAACATTGCTGAGAATTGAGAAGATCAAGACTCTTCAGAAGTAAGGACCTTTAATTTTACAACGGAAAGAAAAATCATTAATTTTATCATGAGTAGTGTTTAAAAACTTGTTTTTATTTAAACGATAATGTATATTACACATTGAATTTAACTAAATAAACATACGATGAATAGATTGACTTTGTTAAATTCCTTTTATCATGCAAAGCAGCTGTTAGATTTTGATGGCTATCCGACTAAACTTAGTTTATCAAAAAAGTAATTCATTCCCTAACCCTAAACATTTGAGATCACTTAGTGGTGCTTATTGAATTTTTTTTTAAAAAAATGTTAGAATTGTAACATGAAATTAGCCACTTTCTTATTCAATGGCTGATTTTGTAATCGAACAGCAAGCCAAAATTATTGAGATGTTGGAGAAAATTTGTAGCTCCAGTGGATGATTGTGGTGGTGTTTCGTTCTCTGAGTTGGATATAATCAAAACAAAGGTGAAAACAACGACAGATTTAAGGTCGACAGCAACCAATCAAGATTGAGGTTAGCAGAACTAGCTACAGGTCAAACGTGGAGAAATTTGAATACTTCACTTCCATCTGAAGTATATGCTGACAATGTTGTTCAGGAGAAGAACAATGAAAGCTTCACAACCAAAATATCCAGCTCATAGAGAACGAAACACCACCACAGCCAAAAAATACTGCAGATATTACACTTCATCTGTGTGTAAACTTATGAAATACTTTATTACAATGTAAGCTTACATTTAAAACCATTTTAATTATCATAAATAGACTGAGCAAAGACAGACAGACAGACAGATAGATACTACGCAGAACCTCGTACGTAAGTACATCAGTTCAGGTTGCCATACCACATCAGCACACAGAGACGCAACTGTCACTTCAAATCCAAGAGTGATAGCAATAGTAGAAGTATTAGCAGCAATGGAGAAGATTAGGGAGCGAAGATATGATTCGATAAGTATAATTCATTGGGATAAATTTAGAAGGAGAAAGATTAAACTAAGTGACAATAGAAATTAGAAATGTATAAAAGAATGCTTATGAATAGAAGCATATTTATATAGATTTTTGTTTGAGACATTTTAAGAAAATTATTCAATATTTTCGTTTTTACCACAAAAATTCTTCTTCGTTAAAACTGTAAATATATCATACTTAGAAACAAGCAAAACTAATTAGGTGGAAACGTTGAAGTTGAATGACACCGACAACTCAAATGTAAATATAAATTCTCTTCTTCACTTGGAATCATTTTGTGTTAAAACTATTCAATATAAACTTTCAGTTATGATGGAGTTTCATTCTCTGAGTAAGATGTTTTGACTGTGAAGCTTTCATTGTTCTTTGTAATAACAAGTGAAGAAATTAGTATACTTCTTCACTTCTACTTGACATTTGTGCCCATGATGTTGTTCAGAAGAACGCCAAAAGCTCTTCAACCAAAATATCCAATTGACGGAATAATAAAACTCCACCACAATCATCCACCTAAGCTGTAAATTTTCTCCATTATCTTATAAATTTTCAGTACTTGTTCGTTGAATAATATGCAATTGATTCTTCATATTGATAAGTTGTCATCTATTTGATGTGTTGAAATTAGATATTCTCATTGGTTATGATACTTTAAACTTAACTTAATTCAGACTATGTCAAATGATAAAATGCAATTGAAATTATTCTTATAAAATACATTTCTATTATTACAACAAATTGATGAAAATTTGTTTGATATTCATTCCTGATTTGGTGTTTCCATTGACATGTGTTACATATGCCTAACCACCGACTGCCGCGACGAGCTATGTTTTGTGGTGTAAGAGTAGGTTGGAAGAAAGCTAGGGGTGACCAAAGCAAAACATGGCAGAAATCCATGAAGTCACTAACTAGTGGACTGAGTCATGTCGGTAGATGTAGGCTATCTGGATGGGGTCCACGAAACGAAAGTCACCAATAGTTAGAGACCTTGAACGACATTGCTCAAAATCCATTGCAATGGCGCAAGTGCATCCACTTTTTGTGTGCTTTTTAATTCTAACCTTCTGAATTCCTCATAATCTCTATCTTTCTCCTTCTAAATTTATCTTACTGAATTATACTTCTGGAATCATATCTTCACTCCTTAATCTTCTCCATTACTGCTAATACTTCTACTATCGTTATCACTCTTGGATTTGAACTGACAGTTGCGTCTATGTGCTAATGTGGTATGGCAACCTGAACTGATGTACTTACGTACGAAGTTCTGCGTTGTATCTGTTTGTCAGTCTGTCTGTCTGGTGTTTCCATTGGACCAGAATAGTACATAAATCCAATTGTAACATATCTATCAACCCTAGAACCTATATTATTAACATTATAATTTTTCTATAAGTCTTGTGAATTCTTTTTCTTGCGATAATCAATAATACAAAAAAAAATAAATCTTAAAATGGAATTTCTGACGTAAACTAACATTTTTTCCAATTCTTTGAGAATAATTGCGACAATTAATTTTATAATTTAACTTTCATATTCATATTGTTTTAGAAGAAGTATATTTTGAATAAATTTGCACAAATAGTAAAAATCATTGTGACATTTAGAAGAAATTTGAATGATATTGACAAGTAGATCACATATACAAAGTGTGTTTCTGAATACAAACAGAATTCACTATGAAACTACTGATTGAATAGAGTATATTTGTGCCAGAAAGCTAACATTGATACTGAATTCATGTGAAAATCAATGTTTTTTTCCTAATTCATGAATACATCACTTAGAAAATGTACTAAATTCTCAGTGTTATCACTTCTAATTTCATTCAGTAGACATCAAATTCCAATAACATGCAATTTTATAGAGTGGTGTATTCTTATGAAGAATGAATACACTTCAATTCATTTAGAAAGAATGTACAAGTGATAAAAAAATTTCTTTTATTCAATCAAATACTAATAACACTTGTGGTGGTGTTTCGTTCTCTGAGCTGGTTGTTTTGGTTGTGGAGCTTTCATTGTTCTTCTGAACAACATCATCAGCACAAACTTCAGATAGAAGTGAAGCATTCGAAGTTTGTGCTGAAAGTGTTGTTCAGAAGAACAATGCAAGCTCCACAACCAAAACAACCAGCTCAGAGAACGAAACGCCACCACAATCATCCTCCTGAGCTACAAGTTTTCTCCACCATCTCAAAACTAATAACACTTGAATAAATCACCCATTAGAAAGTTTAATTTTTTAGAATTCTATGAAATTCTTACCGATCAATGTAATATTAAAGGAGATGTTTGAATTCGAAAGGGTGACATACACCTTAATCGACTGAAATAAAACTATTGACACATTGACAAGAGTAGATTATGATGATATTATAAGTTCTTCACTACTTTCTACAACTCATTCTCTCGTGACTTACTGAAAAGACTTATATCATAAGATTATAATCCTTATAAATATATAAGGATTTTACAAGTGAATTATGTCTGATAAAGTGTTTTCCAGTTGCGTAATCAAGTAATCAAGTAACTCATAAGCAGGGAGCAACCACGACTGCTGCACCTCGCAGGATTCAGAGAACGAAACACCACCACAATCATCCACCTGAGCTACAAATTTTCTTCACTATCTCAGTGTGAGACATGGCCAGTAAGAGTTGAGGATATTATTCAGGTTATAAGTACTGTATCATAAATGTCTTCGAAGCATTGCTCGTGCATCCTGGTGTGGTGCTGTGGTGCGAACTACTTATAAGTAGTATATAACGTGAGTATCAACGTAAAGTCTGGTAGCATAATACGGGGGGAAGATCAAGAAAGGAAGAGTTAGAAAACAATGGAATTTGTATCAAACGCATGAATAGTAGTGACAATGGATTGATGTTTGGCAACAGAAACAGTCCAGTTCCATAGGATGAACTGATCTTTTGCAAATGAACGATTTACGATATGGTTTTCCGATTTTACTGAGTAACTCTGTAATTTTCGTTAAATGCAATTCGGATGCCCCACCTGTGTTCTCATTCACTACACTGGGACAACCGAGTAAGCAATTCTCTCGTTAGGAAACAATTACTAGGTAATGATGGCAGTGCGCATCCATGACCATCCGTCGCACGTGGGAATCGAACCCAGAGACTTTTTGGTGTCGTGTGACAACGTCTAACCTCTAGACCACTGATCCGGCATCCAATGGTATGACTGTCTTTGATCAATCTAAGGTTTTACGCATGTTTTGTTGAAAAAAATATATTACTAACTGGATCAATAATATCGCTTTGATTAACAAATCCAATAATTCTGTTCTATTTGTTTATCGAGCATCAACATATATACTCATCTTTAAGCGTTATAACTGATTTGGTTATCTTTTCTAAAGCAATAAATCGGAACTATTGATTATTTTACAATAAACGCGTAGATAATATATTATATGACGTAATTACTATTCATACTAACTAACCATGAACAACATTTATGCACTTTTATATTCATGAATTTTTTTTTGAATCAAAATATTGAACATTGAAATTATTCTGTTTTAATTATTTAACAAAGAAGTTTGTTGCACTGATATAAGCAATATATATAATTCATGATCGGAGTGCAAAGATTTAAAAGAAAAATAAAAAAA